GGGAAGGGAAGGGAAGGGAAGGGAAGGGAAGGGAAGGGAAGGGAAGGGAAGGGAAGGGAAGGGACCTTGAGAAGCTGAAGTAATCTTGGTTTTGGCTTAGAGATGCAATTTAGGTTTCATCCTGACTGCAGAGAAAGACTTTCCGCTCTGGCTCTCTGAGGCTGCGCTGATGAGAACCCACGAGAACCAAGTGCAGGAATGAAAGACGTGGTGCTACTTTTAACTGTATGCTCCGTATGGGACTAAATCTGTATAGAACAGGAACAGATAAGATTTAAGGAGTATTTATTTGGTGCTGCACCTTTACTTTCTGGAAAACAGTGTTTTGACAGATAGTTTGTTCTCCTCAAAGCAGGGACTGTCCTTTCTCTGAGAAGAGGTTCCTAGCACGCATTTGATACTGATAACTGGGTACATTACTGGGTGTTGCTTTGCTTTCTACCTCTTCCTTAAAGTAGATGCCAACAGAATAATTTGGAGAATTCATAATATTCCATCCCTTCTCTGCTCCTACTTCATAAAAATTTCATCTCTCAGAAAAAACTCTGCTTATACATGCTTACAAGGCATTGGGTGCTTCTACCCTGGCCCAGCGAAGTGCAGACTTAATTCTCCTCCTGTATCAGGATCTAATTCCTCAGTCCAGGTTCAAGCTCTCCAAGCCCAACTGGTGACAAGATGACAGTAAATTTTCCTCCTGAGATCTGTTTTTTTGTAAAAGTCCTCTGGGCACACAAGCAGCTTAAGACACTTAGGAACAAAGCTACACTGGAAGTCTGGACGGCCAGGGCACATTTTGTATCAGAGCAAGTTCCTGTCTGACTTGAAGTGCTCTGAAAATGCACCTGAATTTCGGGCTATGGAAGGAAAGTGACAGAAGTCGGGAGTGAATGACCCTGACCTGGGAAAATGGGTTAGTACGCGCTTCCACCTATCCTTATTTAGTAAAGCACAGGAATGTGAGGCTTCATTACAGGGGTTTGAGCACAGAAATACACGGTTCCTGTCACCGAGGCGGTATCGGGGGTAAAATAAACGTTGAGATGATTCACTCACTCAGGGTGAGCACGAAGGAAGTCAGGCAGGGCCCGGGGAGCCGCCATCAGAGCCCTGGCCACCCC